TGTTTGATTCAACTTTTGCCTATCTTGTCGTAAAAAAAATAGTTAAATATGATGTCTATGGTTCCATCTTGTTGTGCTATAGTTATAACTGGTCTACCAGTCCCGCTTTTTTTGTTTACAATTTGATTGCTGTTCCATTTTTGTAAAGCTCTCAATCGTAGTTTTGCTTCTATTAAATTCTTGAGCCAGCCATCTAATAGACGAACCATCTATTTTGGAAATTATTCGCATGTTATCAAACTTACTCTAATGCGTAACAATGCGCCAAATCTTACTTTTTGTCATTTTCAAAAGTAAAGTTGGTTTTACATTGGGAAAAATAAGTGTACCAGTTTTATATGACGCGAAGTGTACAATTAACGACCTTCCAACCTGTATAAGTTTCATAAAAAATATTTAAAAATAAGGAAACTACAGGGAAGTGAAATTTGTATATTAGTTGCCGTCCACAAGATAAACTATACGAGATATATTTACTCCGTACCGTAACGAATGTGCAAGAATGCTAGATGATTGAATTAAGTTTGGACATTCTTGATTTTAGAATGATAGCTGCCCTGTTTATTCTTGTTTCAAGTGTGCATTATACCTAAAAAGGTATGACTATACGAATATAAACATTTCGTTTCAATTCCTAAGTGCACAATAATTTATATATTAAACTTTTTTTTACTGTTTTGGATTGAAAAATTAATAAAATTCTGAAGTACGTTAAAATTGTTAAAAAAAAGAATATTAAAATAGGTAGGTATATAAATTGTTGTGCCTTCAGGAATTAAAGTAAATTCGAAATTAAAAAGTTCGTTTGTTTTCGTAGTGAAGGCATAAATAGATGCTTAATTAAATTCAGCAATACTATGTTGGACTAAAAAAAGAAGGATCGAGTGTGATAACATTTTTATTAAAGAAGAAAATAAACATATTACCTATATCAAATTATTAAAAACAAAATCATATTAATAATCATATTAATAATCATATTAATGATCATATTAATAATCATATTAATAATTATATTAATAAACATATTATACTTTAATATTATTGTCCTTCCCGATGACACGGTGGCACGTCGAGTTGTTTGTAGTTGATTTTAGAAGAGGGAGTGAACAATATGTAATATAGCCAGGCGGCGGGAGCAGTCGTGTTAAGATATTCAACAATTCTTTGGATACATATCAAAAGCTACATTTCAAAATTTATTTTAAAATATTCAAAATATCCCAGAAAAAATATGAAGAATTTTGTTATGAAACGCATAGTACATTTTTTTGCATTTAGACTCCAAAAACAGGTATTTTTATGTGGTCAAAATTTATTACTATGACCGCTAAATAATTTTTGATCATAAATGCAATAAAATAATAAAACTTTGATACGCCACACATTTTTAGGCATTATGTATATTTCAAATTACAAGTAGCAATAGAAAAAAATCAAAATTGTTATAGTTTATGCACCAAATTTCGAGCCGTATATTGTACATCATCTTTTATGAAGATGTTTCACTGAAAGAACAAATCAGACTCACCTGTATTTTTGCTATTATTGAATATGCTAAACCCCACACCAACAATAAATTATATAACTCATTATTTCTGTATTCATTCTTTCATAAAATTCAAAAACCTCATTTACATTATAATCCATTTTAAACACTAACTATATAACTCTAAAATTCACTGGCGATAAATAAATACTTAAAACTCGTTTTACATACTTAAAATGAAGAAGTTTTATTCTCAATTTAAACACGGTATTCTTTAATTTAAGAAATAGCATGGGAGTTCTCAAAAAATTCTTAAGTGTGTGTGTGTGTGTGTGTGTGTGTGTGTGTGTGTGTGTGTGTGTGTGTGTGTGTGTGTGTGTGTGTGTGTGTGTGTGTGTGTGTGTGTGTGTGTGTGTGTGTGTGTGTGTGTGTGTGTGTGTGTGTGTGTGTGTGTGTGTGTGTGTGTGTGTGTGTGTGTGTGTGTGTGTGTGTGTGTGTGTGTGTGTGTGTGTGTGTGTGTGTGTGTGTGTGTGTGTGTGTGTGTGTGTGTGTGTGTGTGTGTGTGTGTGTGTGTGTGTGTGTGTGTGTGTGTGTGTGTGTGTGTGTGTGTGTGTGTGTGTGTGTGTGTGTGTGTGTGTGTGTGTGTGTGTGTGTGTGTGTGTGTGTGTGTGTGTGTGTGTGTGTGTGTGTGTGTGTGTGTGTGTGTGTGTGTGTGTGTGTGTGTGTGTGTGTGTGTGTGTGTGTGTGTGTGTGTGTGTGTGTGTGTGTGTGTGTGTGTGTGTGTGTGTGTGTGTGTGTGTGTGTGTGTGTGTGTGTGTGTGTGTGTGTGTGTGTGTGTGTGTGTGTGTGTGTGTGTGTGTGTGTGTGTGTGTGTGTGTGTGTGTGTGTGTGTGTGTGTGTGTGTGTGTGTGTGTGTGTGTGTGTGTGTGTGTGTGTGTGTGTGTGTGTGTGTGTGTGTGTGTGTGTGTGTGTGTGTGTGTGTGTGTGTGTGTGTGTGTGTGTGTGTGTGTGTGTGTGTGTGTGTGTGTGTGTGTGTGTGTGAAAAATATTTTTTTATAAAAAATTTTCAAACAAAAGTTGTTTGTAATATAATTCTCTATAATTTTATTCTGTACATAATTTCTCTAAAATGGACCGTATTCGAGATATTTGAGAAAATGTGTAAATTTCGAAATTTGAAGAAAACTCAAAAACGGATAAAGAAAAAAACATTGAATTTTAAACTTAAGTTTTATTTCGGCCTGACGTGAAATGATTAGATTTTGGACAAAGTCGGAACATCTGGGGGGGTACTTTATGGGGGCCGTTTTTATATTTTATGGAATATATCTGTTATTTATGTTTGGAGAAAAAAATTGTTCAAATAAAAGTTATTTCTAATATTATTATCTATAATTTTTGTTTTATGTCAAAATTTCCTGAAATGGTCCGTATTCGAGAAATTCGACAAAATGTGCAACATTCTGATTTTTATGAGAATTGTTGAAAAAAAAAGTCGATCTCTATAATTTTTGTTTATACATGATTTTTCTAAAATGGACAGTAATGGAAAAATTGTAGGAAAAGTGCTAAATTTAAATTTTTCAGTATTTTCATTTTTAATGAACATCTAGAAAAATGTTTCGAGGTAGATGTATATGGAAAATGTATATATTTATTTTATCCTCTAAACATTTATGGAGGTGCTGCAATAGGTTGTACAAAATAACCGGAAAAAGCCTGTAATAACTAGATAGGAAAGTCATGTCTTGGACACATCAGATTTTTAATATAAAAAACCCGCATACTTATTATGAGCATGGGCATTCTTAAAAAATTCTTAAGCGAAAAGCGATTATACATACTTATAATAAGAAGTTTCTTTCTAATTTTAATCTCGTTACTTCTTAATCGAAGAAAATCTCTTACTCAATGTAAGTATGGCAATTCTTTAAAAAAATTTAAACGAAAGGAGCATGAAACAAGAAGTTCTTTTCTTAGTTTAAATATATTATTTCAAAATTTAAGAACGTTTTATGCTTAACTATTTGACGTACACTACGTGCTTAAAGTTTAAAGATCATACTTAATTTAACATGTTAGGATAATTTTTAATTTAAACACCTTTCCGGTTTAATGTAATATTTCTAAGTCAGTCACAACACTTATCGGACTAATTAGAACATCTAGGACTATATGTCAGCATTTTTTACCTTGGCTCTGGCCTCAGACTTTCCACTACTAGTTTCTAAGTCCTTATAACATGAATTGTAAATTCGTTTAACTTTTTTTAAATTGCCATCAATCATAGTGGCCAGTTCAAAACAAGATTGATTATATAACCCTTTTAAAGCGATGTTTTACTTGCTGTCTATACTGTCCCCCATATTTGACTGACGTGGCCTCTTCCGAAATAAGTTACACAGACAGGCGAAGCGGTCACCAGTCAGTGACTAGTCAACATTTAATATCTAACGAATATAAAAAAATATAAAAAATGGCTTACATAAATAACTATTAATTTAAATAACAAATCAGTAATAATTTAAAGAGAATAACAATTACTATTGAACAAGGTGGAACACTCCAACAATTAATGTTCGGATACATTAAAACCTCTTTGGACTTTTTGAATATCCTTGTGGTAAGCAGTATGTATATATTAATTACTTTTTTTACTCTAAATTTCAAATTATTTTTTAATTACATTTATGTTTTTTTCATTATTAACTGTAAACACAATTCAATGTGGACAATTATGTGGGACATAACCCCTTATCTCTACACAAGCGCAAGCTTCAAGAGGATCTCTATGAATGACTAAGGGTTTCTGTCCCCATAATTGTTTCCAACATTGGGTTTTTTGTAAATTTGTACTTACCTTTGATTTGTAACTTTGTTGATAAAAATCATTTTTAACAAAATTTTGTATTTGCATTTTTTAATTAAAACAATTTTGCACGAAATACAAGATTTTTGCTAATCTAAACTACTTACATACGGCCATTAATCTCTGTTGTTTTCTTTAATTAAATTATTTATGTTGTACAAGGTAAGAATATATTATTTAATAATTGTAATTTTGCCTTTCGCAAATAACCATCGAGTAGTACCTCCATGCAAATAATACACTTAAAAGTACAACTGGCTCCCATATCAATACTATTAAACGCAAAAACAAAATGACATATGCGGATGTGCAATTGGAACTCAGGATAGGAAGCATAACAGCAAATTTTGATTATTTTAAGAGGAAGTAAGATTTGCGCATGAATAATAAAGATCATTAATAACGGGAAAGGTTTATTGTCTTAAAAAACAGTTTTAAATTTAAATCACCAAGTTCAGAATGCTCCAGATTCTGAAAGGATCAAAAATTCGCCTCTATCTTAAGAAGGTTATTGAAGATGATACTTGAAGAAACATAGCTACATCGTTCTTTTCACTAATAACTGCAGCATTATGCAATAATATTCTACAAAGAAAAATTATGATTGTTTCAAAAGATTCTAATAATAATATTTTGTTTCAGACCAAAACATGCCAAACCAGCACGTTAAGGAGATTTTGGAAAAGCAGGATAGGGATCTATATGTTGCGGAACAGAATTGCACCAATCTATATGGAATAGACGTAAAAAATAAACATCAAGATCCTTTTTACAACAAAACTAGTCAAAGTAAGTAGTGACCTTCATTTGTAGAGTACCAAACACCTAGTAGAGTACCTATGCACAATATTTATGACGACTAGCCTTCATAACAATATGATAAGATGACATCCCAAATAACAAACAAAGTTATAAAATGTTGGTATAATTGATTAAAACGTTACAAAACACGCGTAAACGACACATTAAATAACTTAAATTTTTATAACTGATATACAACTTTTTAATAGTACAAAGTTTTGTTAGAAGTTGTTGAACAATATTTAACTAGAATTGTAACAACGTTAATTTAAAAGAAACGTATAACTAAGTTAAGTTGTGTTAAAATGTACAATATATGTAGTTGTTATAACGTTTCTATAACTGTTAAATTACAACTACTTTTAATACATACATATTAACTTAATAATACTGTGACGAAAGTCTAATTTATTTTTAGTTTATTTAAAAACACACTATTTACAATTTATTTTATTAGTCTAACTCATTAGTCCAACTCCGCTACTGAAAAATGCTAGAGACTCTCGAGGATTCCATTTGTATGACTAAACGGCACTCTCCGCCGTTCCAGCTGTTTCTAGGGCATCAGCGGCAGGCATTCCGTCGTATTCTTGTATATTCAAGACGCGGTCCGGCTGTTTCCACACGTCATCGTTGCTTCGATCACGAGTCGGTTGCCAAAGTCGCGTGCGTACACAGGGTCGGATTAGGGATTTCATGACAATACACTTGTAATACCGTTGTAAACTGTAGTTACTATTAGGTTTATCCAGAAAATTATTTTATGGTTAATAAAACTGATATAAACTGCTTCAGTGGTTCTTTTGTTTTAAATTATATAATAGAATATATAGAAGTTGTATAGTGGTTAAATGTGTATATTATTATATTCCTAGAATGTATTATTATCTTTCTGAGGTTAGGGAAGTATCATGTATCCGAAAAAGAGGTGGCTCTTATAGATGTATAAAAAACTATTTAAACTGGGTACATCAAAGTACTTCAAGAAATAAAACATTTCAAACACAGATCCGCAGTACTTACCTATACAATAAAACCATCCGTTGTTTTAAACAGTAATATTTGTAACATTTGTGTTTCTTGCAATAGTTATAAAAAGAAACAACTAATAAAGACCAAGATCACCACCCTGAAAAGGAGGATAACTCCTATAGCAGGGAATTAAGAAAATAAAATGTCCTAGAAAAATGTAAAATACTTACGAAAAAGTCAATAATAAACCAAAAAAAAGCCAAAGACCAAAAAATACTGCAACATAGAAATTGACATGAAAATAGGGACCAATAACTAAAAGTATGGGGAATAACAAAAAATAAAGTAGGTTACCTACCACATAAAATTATAAATAAATTAGTGAGAATAATTATATACACAATTAAAATTAAACAACCAGGTACCAAAAGATGCATGAACCTTATTGCAAACTCCCAGAAAAATGAACATAGTTTTTGTGGGACCAGAACCCAATGGTATAATGTTATTTAAAAACCCTATGACTTAAAACTTTAAAACCATGTTTTGCAAACAATAAGTACTTTTTATTTGATCCTTTCTTTATTAATCTTTGTAAACCAATACTAGAAATGATTGAAATACTCCTAAACGATTGCATAATCAATATAAATGTTTTTATTTTTTGACAGTTATAACTCAGTGGTAAACGAGTTTTGATATAACTTATATAATACACATAGAATTAAGTTATAATGTAGTGGTAATAAATAATATGATACATGCAAATTAAACTTACATAATTAAGTTATAATAACCATATGTTGTACACATAAAAGCAATAAAAGTACAAGTTAAATAATATTAACGTTGTGTTTATAATGTATTAATTACAACTTTTTGGTCATAAGAAGATTCAGCCATTTTATTCGGTAAAAAGAAACACAAACTTTCCGCCATGTTGATAAAAAATAAACAAAAAGTGAAATTTGGCTCTCATTCTGTATTATAATTGCAATATGTAGACAAAATAAGGTTACATTAATATGTTTTTATTTAAAATAATTGTTTTGAAATATGTATTTATAAAGTTTTTTTTTTTTGTATTTTTTCAAATAAATTTGAAAATCATTATTTTAAGAAAATGATAAGGCGCACTAATTTTTACAAAGTAAAATTAAATGTTACTCCATAAAATTTGTTTCGTCAGAGAATTTTGGTAGATTACACCAACTTTTTAGACAAAATGTAAGTTTACTATTAAGATTTACCTAGTTGCCATTAGTGGGATATTTATGATTTATTAGAGAGTTATTGCAAGTTTACTTAAGGTCAGTCACTATTAGTGCCGCTCTTATTTTGACATCTGAGCATGCGCAGATCGTTTATGTTCTAAAACTGACTTGTGGATATTTTAGGGGAGGAGGTAGTGGCGACTTTACAGCTTTCGGGTGCGCTCGCCGACATTCGTATCCATTCGAAATTTTTTAATATTAAATATTTGATTATAATCTTCATTTAAACCTAAAATTATAATTTCTAATGTTTCTTCAATATTATGTACTATTATAGACAACAAAAAAGATTAACTATAATTTAAATTTATTAAAATGAGGTTAGAAATAAGTATAAGGACAAGGATTCTAATGTCAAAATTTCAGGATTGCAATAAGTCTGATTTTAGCATGGAATTTGTTTGACTCTAATTACGTTGTCACTATTAGTGGCTGGCGTTATAGAAATTTGCAATATCTCTCTAATGTCATTTTGTAAGAAGTAATTCTAAAATGTTTATACCTATTGGTCTTCATTAGATATATAAATAATTATCTATAGATAAAACCAAATTATATCATGACATAACAACTCTTAACAAGGTTTTTATATCCATTTGTAATTATCTAATGACATTATCTTATTATAAAGTTATAAGTTAGTTATAACTGGAGTCATAACAACTACTGTAAAACGTATACTATTAGGTTGTATATATCCACCAAAAGTCGCATAATAATATATAATACCGGTATAGTGTATTAGAATATGTAAGTTGCTAAGTTTTAAGAAACGTTGTTGCAACGTCGGTATAACCCTTGTTTAACTTTTTGTGTTACTTGGTATTGACAACTGACAACTGACAGCCCAATTATCTTAAACACTAGTAAACAAGGTGTTGTCGCGTGATCAAGCCAAAATAAAAAATAAAAATAAACTTTGTCTCTAACAAAATTGTTGCACTTTTACATTGAATGAATTTAACCAATAAATACATGTTGTTAATGGGATTAAACTTTTTTTAATCTCTTGGAATTAAAATTACCTAAAATCAAAGATTAAAAAAAATAAGAAGTTCAAGAACTATCTTTAAAAGTCAATGTCTTCACTATAACTACTGGTATTATTGTCATTGTATTTTCTGAGATTTATTATGATAGGATCTATTACATTTTCCATTTCTATATTTACTTTCCTAAATGAAAGAGATAGCCATAAGTTCTACTAACCCCTATTTTCTAATCCATAAGGATTTACCAAAACCGGTTCCCCACATATTTCTATTTAATGTCTAGCGTGTTTAGTGAAAACGTCATAAGTTGAGGATGCCAACAAAAGAACCAGACTGTCAACTGTCATTAATATCCATAAGAATAACACAGTGGTAATAGAAATTATTGAAGCATAATTTTGAAAATGAAAGCAATTTAATTATTTAACATTTTAAAGCATATCGTTAATAACGTTTATATGTTTATCAATTTCATATTTTTTTTAGGAAAATATTTATTTTTCTTCGATTTGAAGAATTTTAAACCAGCCTACTTAATCCCTGGTTTTCTAAGTGAATATAATTTAGGTAATTGAAACATTCAAAGCATATAAAAACGGTAAATTGATGACCTTCACATGTAATTCTATCGATTTCATAATTTTTTTTTTTTTTTTTTCAGAAAAAATTCTATTTCAGCGATTTTAGAAACTTAACCTTATTCCTGATTTTGAGAGTGAAAATATTTTAATATTTACAGGATGAATCAATGCCTGGGTCCATCCAGAATAGAAGCAGGTGAGACATATATTGAGGGCCACAAGACAGGACCTCCTAAGCACAAAATCGATATTTTTCAGTTAAAAAAAATGTATTACGTATAGAACAATCCATTTTACTCTAAAATAGGACTTATAATTTACCCATGTTTTGTTCAAAAATTGTAATACTTCCCCTATAAAGTAAATGGAGCGAAATGTTTTAAACGAGATTATCATAAAATATAATTTTCAGTGGAAATGTTAGTTATGAGGTCCTGCATTGTGACCCTCGATAGAAGTTCTCAAGAGTTATTATGTTACTAGATAGAAAGACGAATGTGAACTTTATTGTTGTGCCTATGGAATCAATAACATATTTTAATCCTCTTCAAGAAAGATATTTTTTATTTAGATTGTGTTATGATCAAAGCTGAAAAGTGTATTAAAAATGAAAATGGAAAGGTCAGAAGAAATGATAAGAACTATGCCTCTGCATTTTTCCTATACAGATATTTGTGAAAATGATATATTAAACATTCGAACGTTTACTCTGTTCTGCAAGATAAATAAATAAAAAAAATTAAAGTAGTTTAATTATACAATAATATAAATTATCAAATATTTGTGCAGTAATAATAATTTAGCATCTATTAAATTGTAACATTTGACAGTGCTTTTTCAATAATAAAAAAAAGTATCGAAAACAGATGATATGAATTTGTCAACATAAAATATTTAAATAAGGATCCCATTCAAACTAATTTATTGGGGGCAGCAGCAATATGTAATAAAGAAAACTCTTTAAAGATGATCCAAGCTTTCGGAAATTTAATAACTTATTTCCATCTTCAGGGAATCTACAAAAGGTGTGGTGTGTCTTCATAGGAACATAATATTATTAAGAGAGTGAGTTACTTACATCTTTGTGAGGATGAATTATTAATGATCTTAAATATGGTAAATGTTATGATTTTGATGCACATATAGAATTATAATTACACAGTTTTACA